GCATTGAAGCTGAAAACGACCACTTTTCCATGCAATCTCCTGGTTGCCTTGCCATTCTGTCAAGTCGTAGGTATCAGCATTGAAGCTGAAAACAACCACTTGGCAATCAGCAAAGAGATGCCGCAGGTGCACCATCAGGTCGCGCGAGCGCTTTGAGGCATGCGGCGTACGTTCATTAACATGCCAACTTGTTGCGAACCTCTCTTGGGTTCTGGGGCTTCCGTGGTTACCTGCCTAAAAGCTGGTTTTCCGAGCCCTGGCCCAGGGCATCTTCCGACACCAGGCGCAGATAGCCATGAGATTGCTTGGCAGCTTGAACAGTTGACAACGGGCTGGCAACCACCGACGAGTAAATGAATACACCATCAGGGCAAATTGCCGCCCGGCCAGCAAGCTCCAAAGACCAAGTCTCAGGAATGGTCAGATCAGGAAGCTCCGAGAGCATCACAGGGCAAGCCTGCAACACCTGCTCAAGGACAACCCCTCGATCTGTAAGACGGATCTGGACCAACAGGGCTCCACTTCCTGCCCCATTCAACTCCCGATCCAGCATCCAATTCAGCTTGGCCTTCGTCCACCGCTTCTGCGCCTCTGGTTCTACTTCTTCTTCATGCTTGTCATACTCGGTGTCTTCTATCAGCGCCAAGATCCGATTAGTTGCCAATCTCCCTTCTGGCCACAAGAGCATGGACCAAGCCTACCGAGGCTTCTTCCCACCCCTCTTGATCCGCCACGAGCATTGGCAAAACGGTCTGATCTGCTGCCGGCACCCTCCGGAGCGCCTCGTCATAATGAATGACTTGCGACTCCCCTCGGCCAGCAGAAGAAAGAACCAACCGCGCTGCACGTCGCGAGACTGCCTCGGCAATGTCCATCTCATCCTCCAGATCAGCCAAGACTTCTTCCAAAGAAGCGATTTCTCGAGAGACATCAGTATGCCAAGGCAAAAGTTTCTTCGCTTCAGGAGCAAGCCCATCCAACTTCAGGGCTAACTTGGCTCGCAACTGGGACACCTTTCGATTTTGGGCCTGTGCATAATCATGCACTTCTTCCAGGAACTTTAAAGCAGCAACACTTGGCTTAGGAACCAACTTGTCCCGAAGACTAAAAGCCAAAGGCGAAGAAGCCAACTGCGACAAGTCCTGGTGTGCTACCAAAGAAGTTTGCAAAGCCGCCCCAGCCTGCCAAACCCACTGATAGCAAGTCTGAGCCCGGGACACATCAGTGCGCCCTGCCCGACCTGCTTGTTGGCGAAGCTGCTGGGGAGATGCTCGAGTGCGTACCAATTGCGGTCTTCGGGTCGCATCATCAACCACTTGAGTCTTGCAAACCCCTGAAGAAAGCACCGTCGAGCAATGCCCAAAAGTGAGGCCAGCTTCAGCAATAGCAGTGGCAATGATGATCCGAGTCTCCTTTGCCTTCAGAACAGACTCTCTCTCCTCAGGAGACTGAGTGCCCGTATAAAGCAAAATCGAAGGCTGAGAAGCCGCCGGCATCTGCGACCACCCTGATTCCGGCTTCTTCAGGGCCCGCTGCACTGCATAAGCATCTCTAGGAGCCGGCACAAAGACCAGCACTGCCTCTCCTTTCTTGACCCGGTTTTCCCTCAGCAGCTTGAGACTTTAGAAGCCATCCTTTCAAGGGTATACTCTGCTGCTACCGGGACCAAGGCCCTCCGAGGCTCTGCTTGTGCCATAGGTGCTACAAAAGTGGCTTGGTATAGCACCATATATATAATATACCCATCATACATACTATATATACCCATATTGCTTGTACACAAGTTATGTTTGTTGATGTGTTTGCTTTTCGTCGCATCGGTTCTTCGGTCAACGTTTCGAGTTCAACTTTCGGTGGAGCAGTGCGGAGGACTGAAGCCAATTCCTCGAAACCCAAAACCGGGATCTGAAGAAGACCGTTCGGTAGCGATTGCCTTCTCAAAAGTTAGTTGCAGAACACTGGCCACTTTTCTGGGTATGTGGATGCAGGCGACTGCTGGTGAGCCGCAATGAACATTATTTAATCCAGCATCCCCTGGGAACATAAGTTGTCAGGGATGCTGCTGGCTCGGATGGTCACAGGATCAGTGTAAGTACGAAGAAAGGTCCAGTTGATTCCAAGTGCATTTGGTTGTTAGAGCTTTACCCCTCAAATAGCACATCGTGCGCAATGTCAGGGTGAGTATAGGAAGCAGGTGACATCACTTTTGAGGGACTCTCTCATCAGGTCCTGGCAGAGGATTGGACCAGACACACCTTGCTTTTTGCATCTGGGTCCTTTTCCATCACAGGGCTGTGGGTCAGAACCGGGAAACCTTCAAACAGACCAACGAACTGGAGATCTCCGGCTTTTGGACTCAGAGCCAGGCTGTTTTACCTTTGAAGTTCCACACGGACTAAGCGATGCGCGAAACCAAGGGGCTGAAATCTCTCCCCACTGAGAAAACGTTCAGAACTCATACTCTCCCCGGATTCTCCGTCGTTTTTGGACGTTCTAGCTTTTGGGTTGGCCCCTGGATAGACCATGTTCAATCCGAATACCAAGCACCAGTAGCCCTTAAAACCATGGAAAATAAAGGTGTTCAATGGTTTTAACATACAACAACAATGGTTTTTTGTCAGGGAAAACCAGGTTTTTGCTGGTTTGTGAGGCCCCTGGCAGGGGTGATTGCAGGGTGATCCGACCATGGACTTCCAGGAAGAAACCAACTCCTCCCACGGCCTCTGCATCATACTCTTCAGAGGAATCTCCTTGAAACAACGCAGAACGGCCTCCATTGCTGGAGTTTGACAGCCGATTTCCCTGGAAATGTTCAGACTCCACTGACTGGGAATTCGTTGGGATCTGTTTGATCTGATAGAATTTGGGTCAACAATCGCTTTGACGAGTGGGGAGATTGAGTCGCTCAATGATCGGGCAGATCTTGCACTACAGTACTATAGGTTGAATCTAGAAGATTCAACTACACACTCCATTATGAGTATGTGGGTAGACCCCCCTGTTTTCAAACTGGGATATGGTAAGGGATATACTGCACAGCCGACGTACAGACTTTGCCAAGGCCTAGCTAGGGCCTATGCTACTCGGTGTCCACATACCTTCTCAGAAGGTACGACGGGACCCGTAAATGTGTCACCACGCGTGTCTCTCCTAACATCACCTTCCCAGAGGGTGGCAGTGGATCCACAGGGTATGCTTAATTAGGATAGCTGACCAGTGTCCTAGTCTGCACACCAAACAGGAGGACACCTCATCAGCCGTACGTCGTTTCTTGACCTTTACATTGGGATGTACTGTATTCATTCCGATTCAACCCTCCCAGCGGCTTCCCGGGCAGAGTCACCACTATAGGAAGTCCGAGATAGGGGGATGGAATCGATCTGCCTATCCAGCGTCTCATCTGTCTCATGTATCGTTTTTGGGTTCTCCTGAAAAGGAACATTGATACCAAAAGTCGGGCCCTAAGAATCAGAATTCCGTTCAGTGCTGTGGATGGCTGATGGCCGCTCTGTTCGTTCGGAAGCGAGCAACCAACGAGTCGGTCCCACTTGGAGGAAGGGTACTGGACATCGTGTTGGGACCATGAACTTGAAACGAAGGGTGCAGCCCTGAAGCTCCAGCAACTCAGAGTTTTCTTCAGCTTTGCGTGCCAAACACACATGGCCACGTTTCATCAGCTTGTCTCTCCCAAACAACACGTACACACCCAGGAACCCCGCAACTTGGTCACCTCCCTAGCCGATCACCAAATCACCACTGAGCCATGTCCATACAGTGCCATACAGTGCCCAAGAATGAGACGAGAGAGAACTGGATGTTTGAGTTGGGAAGAACCTCCTCCGATCGTCGAGAGTGAGTGATATAGACCTCATCAGTTGGCCTTCGATCGGACACCCCGGGGACTGGCATCTCCTGGAAGGATCAACTTGCTTGGGGATCGTCCTATCAAAATACCACTCCAATGAGACTGGCATATTTACATACAAACAGACCCCTTTCATTGCCTTTCATACCAGAAACAACCACCCATGGACGTCGTGTCTGGTGTTATCAACTAATATCAACCCCATACACTCCATGGGACTGCCATATATGCCGCCCCATTGACCCCCAAAACCAAGCACCCCAATTGATCGGCAGTCCTATGGCAGTCCCATGGAGTGTCTGGGAACTATACACATCCACTGGTCGAAGTCGGAAATGGTCGACGTCGACGCGGACTCACCGGCGTTTGTGACACCCAGGGCTCCGAGTGATGAGAGGCGCATCCAAATGGCCTGAGGCCACCGACGTCACCGGCGGAGTCACCGGAGGTCGTCTGTTGAAGCTCGGTCGAAAGCGTGGACGGACGGCTGAAGAAATGGATCTACAATGGTGTAGGACTCCCTGAACTCATGGTGTTTCTGTGGAATGGCATTTTTGCCCCTTGCGATGACCATGACATCTGAAAACCTGACAGATGGTTCTCAGTTCTCTGACTTCCATGATGACTTCAGGGGTCTTTACATGGATCAAAACAATGACTGGCCTGGCACCGGTAAACCACTTAGGACTCTTTCATTGCAAGTTGCGCCATGCTCATCTCTAAAGCCAAGCCAGAAAACAATTCACACACCACCCACTGGTCCAGCCTGATACAACTAAAAACAACACAAACGTCAAATAATGTCAAACAAAACAAACCTCTGTTGGATCCTTTGTTGTTTGCTGATCGGTAAAAAAACACCAAGAACAACAAACCAACACCACCGAACACCACCTGCTTCGTTCCTCCAACGACCGCCCAGCGACCGCCATGACCTCGCCGCCGGACTGGCACAGGCCTCGGTCGGCGGTCGCGTCGCGCGCCGCGTTCGTTTTTTCGGCGCAGACGAACGCGGATTGGACGTCCGGTCTGTGATCTGGGTGGGTCATCTGGGTGGGGAACCAAGATCACGTGTTGGGAGTGGATCCGATCGGGATGGGAGTTCTGTGTTTTTCCCCGAGATTGAGCTACGAGCCGGACAAACAACTGTTTCAGCCACCCCCCAATTGTTTGGGATGGGATAGATCTTCTATGTAAATTAAAAGGGTAATATTCTGCTTAACCTCACTGAGATACCCACCCATGCACCCAGTTCTCGTAATTAGTAGTTTGTGACCCCTGGCCTGGCCCTGGCTCCATAGTCTTAAACTGTCTTTAAACAGTACAGTACAATAAACCATGTTCAGAACAACTGCCCACATCCTACCCCGTGTGAAAACACGTGTGTTACTGCGCGTTATCCTGCCCCCAAACAGGGGTTTTGACCCACCCTGACACGAGACAAGACAAGATACACTTCGATTTCAGGGGTCAATGCAAGCATATCTTCGCATACAGAAGTGTTGGGACATGGTTTTTGTGGAGTTCAACCTTTTGGGCTTCGGCTTCGACGAACACTTTCTATGTCACTCGCATCGCGCCAACAAACATGAAGAGAACCTGCTAACCGACCCGCGATCCCTGACGCCCCCTCCCCTCCTCGCTCCACACGCCGACCGGTGTGGCCGCACCACGCAGGGTCTCTGCCCCAGTGACCGGCCCAGATGGCTCGTTGGAATCCATGCTGCTCGCGGAGAAACAGTGCAAAGGTCGTGGTCTCAATCCTCGGATCGTCCCACCGTGTCGAACGTCTCCGCGTCTCCGATGGTACTGTCCGACTCCCAGGTGCGAAGGTCACGGGGCGTGAGACGAGGATCCGGGAGGCACCGGAGGCACCGTTCTTACAAAGAAAGACCAACGGTGCCAGCGACAGGGTGGACGCCCATGAATGGTGGGTGGTTGTTGGGCATCATCTTGGAAAGCGACTGTTACTGGTAATGGAACACAAACTCGCACCTAAGAAGTCTTGCAAATGAACCTGACGATTTGGTTCAAAAGTAGGGCAATGTAGGGCAAACATTTTGCGGGCATGTGGAGCGGTCAGCTTTACATGGCTTTCCAGCACTTCCGAGACATTCCCTCGATGAATCATTCCACCGCGGCTCACATAGCTACAATGGCTGCAGAAACAGGCGCCCAGGATCAGCACTGCCGGCAAACGCATACCTCAAACGAGGTAGCGGCAAACCCTCAAAACGAGTCATGCGAACTCCATGGGGGCTGGCATATTTACATCTATATTGGGGGTGGTTTCAGGTTTGGTGCTGTGAAAACCACCTGAAAACCACCTGTTTGGTCTTCGGATTTCATGGACGTTTCAGAAACCCTGGGAGAGCTGAGCTCGAATACCCGGTAGCTCTGCTCAGGTGTACACACAATCCAACATGGAAAAGACTGGAGTACATCAAAGAACACCAGATGAAGGGGATTCCAAGCATCTAGGAGCAACAATCAGCACATGGTGGATTTCAACAAGTTCTAGTTCTTCTATGTTCTTCTCACTGTGCCACTCCCCCTTGTACATGGGTTTCCGAACCGTGGCATGCCAGTTCCGTCTCCATCCTCCCCACCCTCCTGAGGAGCTCCGTCGTCTCACTCACCTCCCCCCCCACGGGCCACGGGGGCCTGGAGATGTGAAACAAAAACATCATTCTGGAAATCCATCCCTAGGCCTCCAAGTACCTTCTGAGAAGGTGTTTGGGGTGGGTGCCAGGAGGGTCCAAGTACTTTCTGAGAAGGTGGGACTGGGGTGGGTGTGAGGAGGGTCCAAGTAATTTCTGAGAAGGTGGGACTGGGGTGGGTGCCAGGAGGGTCCAAGTACTTTCTGAGAAGGTGTGACTGGGGTGGGTACCACAAGGGTCCAAGTACTTTCTGAGAAGGTGGGACTGGGGTGGGTGCCAGGAAGGTCTACTTTCCGAGAAGGTACTTGGATCCTTAGGGCATGGAGGGGGCTGATTCAGCAATCCCGCCAAGCGCGCGAGCCACGTTTCACGCGTGGTAGCGACCCTAAACCCGCTGTCTCCCTCACAGAAGTTTGGTCCAAGGAGTCCGTTGGCATCCAAAACCATCAAAGCTGCCAGAGGGGATGGAAAGCCGGATGCTGTCCTCGGTGTGAAGACAAGCAGCAAGCAGTCGAAAATGGAAGCATCTTGGTGTGCCAAAGGTTCCCGATGGTTCCAGTCTACCGTGTGACACACTCAGCACATACCATATGACATTGACCGATTGACCTATGTGAGTTGGCAATCACGCCACTCCACAACGACTACCTCCAGTTCAATCACCCTTCAATCGCCCGTAGACTCTGTTTCACTTGCCATACTGGTCAGCGGCACCTAGACTCTGCATCACACAGCGTCACCCTGATGGTGTGTGCCGTGCCCGCGGCTTTGCGGTCTGCTTCGGTCGAGGTTACGGACAGGGGTAGCCGGACACGGATGCTCTGGTCTCAATCATATCAAGCACAGTCAGCAAGGGTGGCTCATATGAGCCCCCCTTGCTCTCGGCTGACGGTGGAAACCTTTGTCATGTCCTGCAGAATGTCTTGTACCTGTCTTTTGAGTTTGGCTGCTGATCACTTCCAAGCTTTCTCAGGAAGTCAACTTGTGCAACGGAGCAAAGGCTAGTAGCTCACTGTGAATAGCGAGTTGGACAGTGATTTCAAGTCATGTGTGGAATCTGCTAGAGATCCAGTACCTTGTCACTACCGTATTGCCATGCAACAAGTGTTTTCAAGTGGAGAATGGCCGCCAGCACCGAGATTAAAGCCTCGATATCACCTCCTAATTCCGCTCAGGCTGACTTCACTGAGATCGATTGGTGTTCTTAAGAGTGGCTGACCCAACAAAAAAACTTGCCCAACCTCCAAAGTAAACCACCCCCTCGTGGTACTCCTTTCTCAGCAAGGTGTTTTTCCAGCCATTTGGATTGATCTCACTATCTGGCATTTCGGACATCTTCTTCAACGCACTGTCTGTAGAAGGCATTCTCTTTCACGCTCGGACTGTCGATGTAAGTCCACATGATTCCACCAAAGGCCTCACTGATGGCATCCCATTTCCACCCACTGATCTCCTTGGGCCGGCAGGTTCTTGAAGCCAGCAAAGGTGTTTCTTTTCTTCCCATGCTGGTTCACGACTGGAGCAGGAGGCAGGCTCGGAGGCGGGACAGGTGGCTCTGCTGTCTGAGAAGTCACTTCTCACGAATGCCACCTCAGCAGCCTGCTCGGGGCTTCAGGCGGCCCCAGCTGCTGCCCAAAACGGCTGGTCCAAGACCACCCGGCCCAGCACCAGCCACCCAAAGCGATTTTCAGGGGTGCAGAGTGCAGCAAGTGTGCACATGGGCAAATTGATCTTGAAACTTCATAGCGTTGAGAGGAGGGCTGACAATGAGACCCTGAGCACCCTGAGTTGGGTGCCACAGGGAAGACAGGTGAAGAGATGTGGTGCTTTTTCTCGACCAAATCTCCAAATCTCAGGCTCTAAAGCCTTCTGTGCAAAGTCTGAACTCGCATCCAAAGGTGAGATATGAAGAACCGTGCGGGACAGGGCCGGAGGGCCTGGTTTCAACCAGGTTCAAACCTTCCGGCTCACTTTATGGCATTAAGTGGTGGTCATAGTTTTGCTCTAAAAGGAGCCAGCAGGCTTGGGTTCGGAGCCCAATCTCATCCTGAGCCAATGCTTGTTCGAAGCCCATGGTTTTGTAGGTTTGGCCAAACACATCCTCAGAGTAGACTTGGACCCGTAGGGAGGAGCTATGGATTCTTGCGAGACACAGTGATGTTCCACCTGCAAGCCATGAGCACTGTCCAAGCTGAGTTTGTTTAAACAAAAATCCAAATTCCATTGTGTTACACATTGTTAAACATCTGAAAAGTGTGCAAAAATACTTATATATAAGTTCTGTGAGCTTGGTTTGCTTTAACCTTAATAAACACCTAATAAGGTATTATTAAACATTGCTAAGTTGCTTTCTTTGACCCACGCCCATCAAGTATAGGGTATATAGATCATTTTAAACACAGGAGCACCTGCACTCCCAGCCCAACTCACCTGCACTCGATCTCCCACACCTTTTCGATCTCCCATCACTCCCAGCGTCGTCTGAGATTCTGGACATGGCCTCGAGGCACCGGCGAGTTCGGATCGTCGGATCTGCCCGAGTTCGGATTCGAAGAAGCATTTAGTTTGGTCTGAATCCTAACCCTACAAGTCCAGTCTGACTCAGTAGAATCTGGTCTTTGACCTCCTTGGGCCGGGCCAACTCCAGTATTTCATGAGGTCATTGACCTGCAGGGGCCCAGGCTTTTTACACCAGGTCTGTCCCATGTTCTCGGTCGAAAGGCGACCGGCGAGTCTCCATGGTTGATGGGACATCCATGGTGGCACATCGAGGGTCCGTTCAGGATCTAACGGTAGCATTTGATTCTCCACTGCGCAACATCTACCAACAGAGGTGGAAAGACCTGAGCGTTCGGACCCTGGTCTGTGGTACATATGGGATGGGCTATAGGGTTCTTCAACCTCTGTTGGTAAGAATTGAATAGAGACTGACAAATCACCCCTCTTATAGATCGAGGAAGCGAAATCAACATCGCAAGGCCGGAAAAACAGCTGCATCGACCCAGGTCAACCACCCCTGGCCTCATCGGCAGTCCTATGGCAGTCCCAGTCATGTCTGGGTATGCTTTTGGCCGTTGCGATAGGAGCCGCGAGCTTGGACCCCAACTGGGGGATCAATCCTAGCTTCCATAGGGCTACAAGGTTTGTAAAAGCTCCCAAACGCAAGCCGGGCCCGAATCCTCGCGTCACGGGGTCTGGGGTTAATCCCGGTTTTGAGGGACCAGTTGGGCTGTTTGGAGCGTCTGGGCCGTCCGAAATTCAGGGAGTCGGCTGGTAACCCCTGACAAGCAGGGTGCATGGGCAAATCACTTTCCCCATGTATTCGATCGAGAAGTATGCTAACCCAGCATACTACAACGTATTATGTTACCTTGCATACGATCGGTGGTACTTGGACATCTTGGACTGCCTCTTCCAAAACCCTTCGAATGACCGGTCAAGAACGAATCCGATCTGCTCAAATACATTCTCCATCCTTCTCCCAATCCCTCCAAAATGGAATAACATCATGCGGAATGATCCATATATGTGCATTCTCATGCACCTTTGCTTGCCAATCCGTTGCCAGTACTACCATCCACCAAGGCCACCCCTCTTGCCCGGCCCCCCGCGAGCGAACGAACACGAGGATGCGCGACAGCATCCCATGAGCGAAAACCCGACCGCCGAGGGACCGAGGCGGTACTGTCCCGGGCATTTGCCTTGCTCTTCCCCGTTCGAGTGGCAATCCTCGGGGATTCGAGTGGCGCGCCGGCCGGCGCGCCTCCCGACGTGGGGCGCAGCGCACGTGTGGCGCGGCGAGCCGCGGATCGTCTGGTGTGCCAGGGATCTTCCCGATCGGACCAATTCGGCACACAAATGGGTACCAAGTTCGGCATGGTTGATGGACACCCCTTCTGCATCTAATTGGTCCATATTAGACAGCCCTTGGATTGTACAAAGAGCTGTGGCCCAGGGGTCTACCCAGCCTCAAAGCGCCATCGGCGGTGTCCAAATAATGCCCTTGTTGCTTCGACAGAAGCGGGACACCCTGGCCGCATGGGTAGACGATGTTCCTTCTTCCAAGGGGTCGATTTCAGGTGAAACGAACACCAAGACTGCCAAATCCTCTGCGTCTGGTTTCTTTGAACCACATCAACAATATAAAATCGCTGTCATGGGACCTCATGCAAAGAGTGTATAGCCTGCACGGATGGTTTGTCGTGCGCATTCTCCTTCTTCTCCTCTCCAAAACCGGTTTGACCATGATGGTTCAACGAGCTTTTGTTGAAGCGCAAGTGAAACAACAGTTGGTCAAAAATCATCAAAAATCCATGCATCATCATGCATCAGTCCTGGCCTAATTAGTTGCATGGTTCAAACACCTCGGACATCCTGTGACCCTTCTTTTTGTTTCAAGGCATGGACCCCTTCCTTCATCAAGAGGCACGAACTAATGGACCGGCCGCAACACCACCCTCTCTGCCCCTTCCCCACGAGTCTCCTGCCCAGGGAAGGGCCGAAACAACGAAACGCCGAAACGCTCGCTCGGCCGAGGCTCTTGGGCCGCAAAGAGGCGTTCACGATGAAATGGTGCTCAAAGTGAATTCCAGCCTGGAACCAGGAAGCTACTAGGAGCAAGGACACTACGTTCGGGGCTCCTGGCTGTAGTAGGAGCAAGGGGCATCGCTACGAACGGAGCTGGAGATCGCTGGAGATGAGAGTCCGAATGGTTCACGTCCTTCCGGGCACTCCGAAGGTCTTGGTGGGTTGGAAGGTGGGAGAACCACCGAAAGAAAACACACTATTCCTGGCTCTTCTGTGTTCTCTTTTCGTTTCACACGTCGAACGATGCCTTGCTTCGACACTCCAAAAAGAGTGGTGCCTGAAGAGTGATATTTACGTATTTGTGATACAGTTTTCCGACCTCAACAAAACACATATAGCTGTAGCTGTTACATAACTGGTTCGGAATTGAGCCTCTTAAGTCCTTTTTCTGCTGACACATGTGTGATTCCCCGCATTTCTGCCGCACCTCAGCGAGGTTGGTGATGTGCGTCAAAGCCGTGGCCTTGGGCTTCCCCACCCCGGTGGCGTTCCCTTTCGGCTGACCCCCGGTCGCCTGAGTTCGAATCCCGAAGAACCATATGGTTTTACTCATACCCTAGGCTTCCTGGCCCATGCATCCAAGAGAGGTGGAAGAGCCCATCCGGTCGCCCATCCCATATGTACCACAGTATGTACCACTACTGTACACCCTAGGCTTCCAACAACCATCCTTCATTTAATAGGCGGGTCATCGCGAATCAACTAAGGATCTTACACTAAGGATCAAACCAGGTCGTTCGCATTTTTTGAATGGTCGAACGGAAGCAGGAATATATTAGGATATTATAGGGGTTGTACACTACACAGCCAGTTGGGATGGATTCGGATCTCAATGTAGATATGTGGCACCCATGCAAACACCATTAATGGGAGCTGGCATATATACAGTACCTACATTGGGGTGGTTGACCTGGTGGTTGACTTGTGGTCAAGCATGGCAGTCCTGGGTGTATGAATAAAAGAGTGGCCGTTTGTGGGGTTGGGATGATGTTGGGATGGCCAGTTTCACACTAATCATTGAGATACGTGAGATATTTATATAGCAACTTCATCTTCAGCCAGAGGAGTATTTACAACATGTCCAAACCTCGTCGGACGCTCCTTAGTTAGACTGTCTGGAGCAAAAGGTTCAATGTGTCTTAATTACACCAGCTCTCCCTGATGCCGGCATCTCTCCCCAGGGTTTGCAGATTCACCCCCTGGGGAAGGACTTAAACATGTAGGTCCGATCCCCACAACCCGCTGGGTGTGATCGGACCAGTGAACTCTTAAAACATATAGTTTAAAACCCCAAACAGATATCTGCCATATCTGTTCTCGGCCATCTGTGCACCCTACCGAACATCTACAACCAAAAGCACACCCACTGAATCAGTGAAGAATGTCTTCAATCGCCAGCTGCCACCCTTCGCCGACCCTCTTCGATCTGCCATGTCACCAGCGTCGCGGCGGTTTTGTACGTCGCACCGGTGCCACTGCTCTTGGCGGTGGCCCCACTCTGCCGCGTGGCCCCACTCTGCCGCGTCGCTCTGCCTTGACAACGGGGCATGGGGCAACGCACATCGGGTGGTGCGGCAGCATGTGGTGAGAGCGGGTCCCGACACATGGGGTTCAAGGCAGCGGCGGTGTTTGGAACGAGCTCTTGTGGTGGCCAGCTCATTCATAGGCGACGTGTAGTCCAAAACATATCTCATCCCTACTGCATCGCTATTAGGTTGGAGGCATTGCTATTAACATTAATGATTCCTATTTGCTATAGTGGTAAGCAAATAAAAGGAAAGAAGTATCACATGGGTATACCAGGGTATGTGAATGCTATTAACATAAATTATTCCTATATTTAGGTAATAAAATAGTTATAGCAGTAAGGAACACTTCGATGACTTGCAATGATCCACACATGGGTTACCTCACAGAAAGGTGGTACGAGGAGGTACATAGGTTCCAAGACCAGTTCTCAACATCGTCAATCGACTCCGAGTGGGAGAGGGCTGATTTGAAATGGTATAGTAGGATCACACAAACAATTGTAAATAGTAAATAGGGTCCAAATCCCAAACACTGCATGGAACTGGAAGAAGGTTCTCAGTTACGTTGTTGTGTTCTTTTTTTGGGGGGGTCAACTGCCCATGGCTTGTCCAGGGGCCATGCCATCCACTTCCATGATGATCGGAGGGAGAGTACTTTCAGAATGGAGGTAGGCCTGGATGTTCCCTCTGATAAAGCAGTCGCCTCTGTTGGATTCTGGTTTGCACTTGACAGCTTGCTGCAGGTGGTCAAGTTGGGGTGGGGGCACTGTCGCAAAAACAAACGGAAAACACAATGGAGATTGGTTTGCTTGTGATACCTGTGCTGTCGTTTGCATGGAACTGCAGCTAGGCCAGGAGATGTAAGTGTCCTAATGCTAGAGCAAGTCTTGCAGCAGCAATGTAGACTCTTGATTCTTGATCAATAAACCACACCTGTTGGATCGTAAAACTGCAAAACCGCTTCATCTGAGATGTTCATCAATCAAGAGTCTACATTAGGGTTGCTTTTTTGAACAACACATTAGTCCAAAAACTTGCTTTCAATGCGTAGCAAGACCCTCCATCCAACAAAATCAAGCCCACCTCATCATATACCTCATCTGAATCGACTGTTCATTCCACAAAGCCCTTTGCTTTCGAAGCGTTCGCACGTTCGCACCTGCCACCATGTGACTCCGTTCACTGTTTTCTGTGGCCCTAGAATACATGGAGGTCCTTAGTCGAAGCGGACCTTCGCCTGCTTTTTGCTGTCGCCTGTTTTGCGGGGACGGACGGCCTCTACTGACGCACTCACTGCGACTAGAGACCGGCGCGACCACCCTCCAACGGAGATTTGTAGAGAAGGTAGTGGAGAAAAGAAAGAAGCAACCCAACACAACGAGGTCATCATGAAGTCCGCGTGGGGAAAAACGAAGTCCGCGTGGCCTGGGGGGAGAAGGCCTGGGGGCATCTCCGAAGCCGTATAGGTTGGGTCTATCCTACCTGTAACAGTGGATGATGATGGTTAGTAAAGGCCTTGTCCAAAAAGATAGTGATGTGCTTGTTTACTGACTGTTACAGGTAAGAACGGACAGACTTAACGTCCAGGCTATTTGGAACCATCCTCAGAGTTGTCTCTGGCCATGGGACATCCCTCAGTCTGGGCCTCTCTGGCCGTTTCACCTGGAAAAAATCCATCTTGGCGTTTGATTCATCTGGTTTCCACCTGTTGGATGCACTCTTGGCGTTTGCTTTCACCCATCCCTGGACCTTCTGAAGCCGAACAACCCTTGCTTTCACCCAACTGTCCACCAAACGAAGGGGGTTTCACCAATCCCTGGACCTTGTGAACTCGATGAACGTGTCCGGTCTGGAGATCCAGTCATACGGCAGACGTCTTTCTGGGCGAAACCCCCGAGTTCGGTGCCTGCTGGCAAGTTCACGTTCGTTCCTTCGGTCCCACAATTAGGTCAGGGGCGGACCTTCAGACTGGAGATTTATTCCAAAAACACAGGCTGCCGACCCCGAGTTCGCAAGGTGCTGGTATTTTCCATTTGCTTGTGGCTCTCGTTGGGGCCAACCCCAACGCAAGATTCTGGTCCACCCTCTTAGCCGGCTCAACCGTCACGGTGGTCGACCATCTTGCGATCCGGGCGGCCGAATTGGGGCCTCGGGGTGCAAAAGCAAAGGCGAACACATGTTGCAAATGCATGTTGTGGAGAGAAGAGCTTTATGTGAGGGCCATACCAGTATGTGGTGTTGAGTTTTGTCTTTTTGTCCAATAGTTCAACAACAATATCAACATGTACCAACCATGTTATGTTCACCATGCAGTTTTATATGTTAATCATTGTTTATCTGTTCTTCAACACAATGATGTTTAAAGGGTAGTTGATCGCCAATGACTTAGACATTTGAATCGAGCATTTGATTGGTTTGATGTTGTTTGCAAATATGAGGGTCGGCCAAAAGTAGCGGTGTCTCAAGACATAGGAATAACAGATTAACAGCATTAAGAATTCAATGTGCACTTGTGTCTATCTGTGATTCCCTCAGCACAGCATGGTGGTGAACCTAGTTGAAGCAGCATAAAATAATCTTCCCTTGGGGTGTGTTGAAATATCACAGAAATTCACAGAAGGCGACACAATGTGAGTAACGTTTGTTCCATATGCTACACGCTCAGCAAACAATGCAAAGAAAACCCACCTGACTCACTTTCTTGACAAACTGTGTTCGCCTTAAAAGGTGTGCTTGGATTACGTCAGAACAAGCATTTCACTGGTTTGCATGCACTTGCACTCACCCACCAACCAAGCAACCAACAGAAACACACACACCTCCGCAACACAGCCACAAACAAGGACAAACATTAAACCAATCCATAAGCCATCAAATACACTCCACCATCATGCCATTGAGTCATTGTTTTTCCCGAGTTTTCCCACCCGAATGACCCCGATGACCAGGTCAAAGCAACACTTACACTACTCTCCCCCAACCATGGATGTGGATCACTTTGTGTATAGAGGAATACTGGAATATACGTCCCTTCCTTAATTCCGGAGCCATTGGCATTCCTTGGTGTTTGGGAAGCACCTGGTGTTATATATATATATATCTACATCGATATCCGAAGCCATCCCCATTCCATGGGACCATTATCCCCCATTAAACACCCCTTCAGAACTGCTGGTAAGTGATCATGTCTCTTCCTGTTCCATGAGTTACATGCTCAGTCGGCTTGCAACATATTCAAGTGAGTTTTTGCAACATATGCAAGTGAGTTTGGGAACTGCTGCTAAGTGATCACTGGCGAATTCCGATGTTGCCGAATTGACCGCCGTCCGACGCGACGCCAAGTCGCAACCCCCGCGCCCGACCGGGCGCTTGACGCGCGTGAAGCGCGTGAGGCTCGCGACACTCGGCCTCGGCTTGGACACAAAGGCCTTGACCGGTCCGACCGGTCGGTCCAGTTGACCAGTCGATCCTGAAAACCGCAAAGAGCAGCAGGGTGTTTTGGCATAACCAACTCGTTGAGGCAAGGTGTTTTGGGCAAAAACCAGATCAGTTCCTGACCGGTACGGTAGTACGGCTGTGTTAGAACCCTATTGCTTTGTAAAAAAGCGAGAACCACCCGTAGTTGACCATCATGTTCACATCTTTCACTATTCCACGTGGTGCAGGAATTCTTCTATCAACCGCGGGGTTGTGTTTTCGTACAGTCGATTGAACTGGTCAAGAAATCCAAGCCATGAAGCCATGGCTGAAACTCTGCTTTTGGGCGACCCCAAACCTGGGGAACTTGCGGTCAAGGGGTCAAGGGGCAAACATCCAAGAAACATTCAGCAGACTTTCCAATCCCCTCCTGGCCTACGCATCCCTGTCGCTTGGGGTGTGTGGCAAAGGGTTCTGTCCATCACCTCTGAGGATGTGGGCCAGGAATCCTAGGGTAAATATGCTTGAATTTGACAGAGACAAATCCCATGATAGTTTGTCCCTGTGACTCAATTCTGTAGTAGCTCGTGTCCTGGGTTGTTAGAGGACATCAAAACCGGCGAATAGGGGGTGCAAATGGGCTGAAGTACTGGTCTAGACAATCCCAGCGCACCTGACTTGGGGTAAGAAAACTACAAGCCTTTCGATCGCGGTGCTTCGAATTTTTGAGGGTCGTCTTTTTCCTAACAACAACCATTTCCGATTCAGACACTCCACATCTGACACCTACAGCCCCCGAACCGCCAACCGATGATGTCCTGACGATAAAACGAATTGGTTCACTCAGCGGCACTGTTCACCACCGAAAACACCCGCTCGAACTTCATCAACCCACTATAGTAGTACGTGCCATCTGCCTCCAACCATCCACCCCCGCAAAAAAAATCCAAGAACTCATTGCCTGCGGTCTTCTCTCGCCTCATGTCTCCGCCCAGGCACTCTTGCGCGAGGCGCGTGAGGCGCGCGAGGCGCGCGTCTCGGCGCGGCCGTTGGGACGCGGCAGCGCCGTGGGTGCGCCGGTGCCGGTGTGTGGGCCATCGGTGCCTGGGAGGGAACGAAATGAATTGAAACTGAGGTGGGGAAACAGTTATCTGCTCAGTTGCGGGATGACACATTAGGTGGTTTTGGAGGGTGGCCTGAGGCAGAAGTGAATTGGGACAAGACATGAACTTGCCCTTTGTGCAACTAAAGGCAGAACATAGACATATCTAATCATATCTAGCTTCTGTGTGATTAAGAGAAACGTACACACTAGTCACGTAGTCGTGAATGTCGTTCCTGTCCAGCAAATTGATGGAACTTGAACAAGACCAAACGGATGACCAAAACGAAGCGAAACGAGTAATATATCCAAAACACTTCATGGGACTGGCATATTGACCTACATTGGGGTGGTTTCAAGGGGTCAATGTAGGCAATTATGCCATCCATGGAATGGAGTGTGTGGTATTATATAATTACATGGATATAATGTCTACACACCTGGATGTCTGCACATCTGGGTGCTCAGCAACTAATATAGATTTAACATGATTTAACAATCTATTTGTTTATGCAGAAAAGCATTCTCCCGGGCATGTTCTTCCCAATTTGCCAGTTACTGGCCTGACAGCCAGCACCTCTTTTTGAAGGAAACTACTGTAGATGTTGGGTCAATGTTTCCCAATTCACATGATGTTTTCTGTTCTTTATTTTCTATAGTGTTCATTGATTTCTTCAACACATGTCAAACAAGTCCGGCATGTTCTTCCCGGTGGCCACGGAGACGTACCAAGCAGGGACCCCAATCATCTACCTGCCAATCAAATGGATTTCTCTGAAGAACTACCCAACCACGACCGGTTTGGAACTGCCATAGGGAGAAATCGTTGTCATGTTTCCCAGTGTCGCCCAAATCTGTATTTTGAGGTGAACATTGAAACTGGAAGCTTCCCCTGGAAAGAAGTTCGCAAACCTTTCAGAGAGCGAGCAGATGACGTACATTTTGATTTTTGGTTTTGCAGTCACTTGCAGCCACTTGCTCAGGCAGCCACTTGGCAGCAAGCAAGTAAATGTCAACATTGTACTTTGAGCTCTTTATTTAAAAAATATAAGATTTCTTCGTCGCTAGCGCCTAGCGCTGCAGAAGTTTGGTGTTTTTTCTCGGAAAAGTCTTGGATCATTTCATGATTTCTCCACGCACAGCTCGGGAGAAAACTGGAATTTCTTCGCAGAACAGCATTGCATAAATCTTGGTTTTCTTCAGAACTCCGTGCGGAGAAATCATGATATTCTCCGGACAGAAGTAGCAGCCACTTGCAAGTGAAATGGACAATCAAAATGCGCACCTCCTGCGAGCTCAATGAAACCGTTGGATTTGGAGTAGGGAAGGTATCCAGTGAGGGTTGCCAACAGTCTGCTCACCTGCTGTTCTGTTTCCAGAACCTTCAGCGGAATGTGTGCTTTTCGTTGTTCCAGCCACCCAGTTCGTTACTCCGGATCCTGCCATCCGAAGGCAGGAGCTCAGCCATCCGACAGCGGGGGTCCTTGAAGTCGTTCCCAGCAGGGTTCCAGAAACCAGGCTGACCAGGTTTTTTCAACTCTGGGGACCTACGTTGACCCCACAAAACCCCACCGCCGTCGCTTGGCCCTTTTGAAACGGCAGGACTGCCGTGTCTGGAGTGTCGACGTGCGAAATCCTGGAGTGTCTGGGTGTCCAAATCATGGTGAATTCTGTGGCTTCCCAACAGAGGTTGAAGAACCCGAACTAGCCCATCCCATATATGTACCACAGACCAGGGTCCTAGTTCAGGTCTTTCAACCTCTGTGGCTTCGCCAGGGCACATCTGGAGTTCGCCTCGGTCTCGCCCGGCGAACCCTGGGACATGTGCCGCTCCAGCGCTTCCACTTCGATCGGGTCCTTGAATCGAAGACGCCACGGGTCGAACGAAGCGAGCGGCACGGCGGCACGGCGGCTGAAGCTGAACCAGCCGTGTTCCAAAGCGGTGAGGGGTGAGGTCAAACCCTGATGACTCCAGGCTAAGCCAGTACCCTAGAAGTCCAAAGACTATATTTTGACCGGCTGAAGTAAAGGAAGTTCCCGAACTCAGGTCCCCTAAAGCCTAAAGACAATTACTTTTTATAGTCTTTGACTCCCAGGCAGATATATGATGGCTCGTTTTGGTGCCACAGTTTCTGCATACCTTTTGCTCCGGTTTGACCTCGAAAACAAAACACTGTTTTCTTCCATCAGTTCCAATGGAGGTTGGGTGCTATATCCATGGAGGTTGGGTGCTATATGGGGGTGCCCAGAATGTCACTTCACATCCCAACTCTTCACCAACACCACGTATACGTTGACCTGTCGTTTGGGGTGGTCCAAGTTATGGTATTGACCCAGTGATGCAAATAAACTTGTTCGGCATGAGGAAGATAACTCTTCAGTTCAGGAGGGGGTCATAGGGAGGAGCAAAATGCTTTCTCCTCCAATCACCCCTAGGGCTCCAGTCGTACCGAACCGTTTCGAAGGTGGGACTGGGGTGGGTGCCAGGAGGGTCCAGTCATACCGAACCTGAGGAGGTACGACTGGAACCCTAGGGCACCACTGGAACCTCTGACTGGTAATTCCGCAATTCCGTGGCCAGTTCCGGGGCTACATCGCACTCCCAAGCGCCGTTTCCGCCGCCGCCAGTGGGTATATCTTGCTCAAATGTGTATGGCTTATCAAAGCAAAGACTCTGACAAGTGCTTCTGGCTAGGATCCCACATCATTTTCTTGTGTGTTTTCTCTTTTGGAGGGCTTCATCTGCTGCTTTTCGGGGCGTTCACTGGCCGTCCAGGTGGCATGAGAAAACCTGCCAATGAAGACGGCCCGGCCAGGGTACCTTTTCAGGAAAGATTTTTTGAGAAAGCTCCAACATGCTCCCACATCCGACTGGTGCTTATAGTAGGGAATGAGGGAATAAGCCCCAATAGAGTTTCCTTTGGATCCGTTCTCTCATTACCTACTACAGTAAGCACCAGTCAGACATTCGAGCGGCCTGTCTATTCGGGGCCGGAGGTACGGAGAGTGAGTGTCTACACGACATGACGAACACATCACGTATTACGTGGATCGGCATGGTCCCGCTTTTGGAAGATGACTTTCCTTAACGAACCAGGGGGGTGAACTCCACTTCCATGTGATGTGTGACGAACACATGTGTACACCATCAAACGTGGCCAGGCAGCTTGCTGTCCGGCCACGAACGGGAACAATAGAGGGGTCGATGCCAGGTCCCCGTACTATGGGTACCCTCAGGCCATTGTTCACTTGCAGGGTGTCCCCTCTGATCAACCAACCAATGGGTACCCTCAGGCCATCGGCCTTGTAGGCCTTTTGCATCTTTTTCCACTATGCGTCGGTTGATCCAATTCTGCTCATGGTTAGACCTTGACAATATCGATGCTTGGCTCTGAGAAACAACTCAATCAATGGATGGCACCAAGGAGGCACATATTGACACCAAGGAGGCACATATTGAAGCAAAATGACAGTGACAGGTTTAGAGGAATTCCTGAATGCCTTAAAATGAGACATCAACTCCCAGCAACAAGTCAAAGTCGTTCATGAAGCTTTGCAGTAGAGGGACTGATGAACCAACCACTGGACCGGTGGCATGCCACGTCTCACTCTGGGGATTGCTCCAAAGGTTTGGTTCTTCTCGGGACCGGGACCCTTTTGGAAGAGATATAAATCAACACAGCCCCAATGCTGCGGTGGAAAAATCAATTCTGTGTCGTGTTTCAATTCTGGGGTCATTACACAGAATCCTCATTACATCATCCTCAGATGTAATAACATCTGTGTTGTGTTTCTGGTGGCTCTGTTTGATTCTCCGCTGGTCATTACATCATCCGCAGCGGTGAACCCAAAAGCCTCAACGCCCGACCACCGCAGGTTCGCCACCCGTTCGCACCGCCCGCGCCGCCTCCGCACCGATGAGTGCAGTGCTGAACATGGGGGGAGACCTCCCAGGTTCGACCTCTCAACCCCGCCGACAAAAACCGGCAGTGTCCAGTCTCCCACCGATCTCTCCCACCAAATGCTTATGTTTTGCCAAGACGCAGATGGTTTGCTGCAACTCACCACAGAAAAGACATCACAGAAAACAGCATCACAGCCCAGGAGTCACCTGAAGTACGGGGTGGTGTTTAGTCTCGTCCCATCCAGTGGAACCTCCATGGATCGCACCCCGTCGAACGTTTTACTCTGGGCATTAGCTTTACTCTCCCTAAACATCCAGTCGTACCTTCTCAGGTACGGTGATTGGAGACACTCTGATGTAGGTTTTGAGGGTCCAAGTACCTTCTGAGAAGCTACGACTGGATCCCGGGGGTCTGTTTGACCCCACACCTCTCTACCCCCCACACCAACCCCTCTTCCGGCTTCGCCCGGGGTCCTGGCGACTCACCGCCGTGGAGGTCGCGGGCGCTTCGTCCTCGGAGTCCTCCGCGGGCGAAACGGACGGTGGGCTGGGCCAAAGGGGGTGAAGTCGAGGAACTCTGGGCAGGGGCGTCCGAAAAGCTGCCAGGGCGGCTTTGGGAATGAGAGTCGCCAGGATATTTTTTTGAATGAGAAGGACTCAGTCACACAGTCACACGGGATGGGCATAGATTATCCCATAGGGAATTCTAGAGGATTCATCCGCGTGTGCACAATGGAATAAGGGTCCGCCCACCAAGAAGAACCCTGCTTAGTCGGGTTCCTACATCCTTCGCAAATCCAGATTTGCCCATGAAGTCGTTTAAGGTGTACCATTGATCTCCTGGCGCAACCGTACAAAGCCTCAATACTTTATCCTCAGGGACAGGTTCCAAGAATAAACCTGTTTCGAAGATGTCTGACATGCAAGCCGACCAACTCTGAAAACGGCAGTGCGATGAAGCTGCAAAAAGAATCAATCGCTGCAACCACATATTTTCATTGTGACCGCCAAAGTGTGGCGAAGAGTGACGGCAAGAGTGATTCGATTATGCTCAAGATGCGCCTTTGGGAAACATCGTTGAAGCAACTCCCAAGGCTTAGTGACTTCAGGATGCCTGAAGCAACCACCAAACTGGCCTACCTACCATGGCACCTCCCTCCTTCCCCGCCCAGACCATCTGACACGGATCCTCCATATCTTCGAGATAGGCTTCCAACTCCGTTTGCTTGGTCCTCCGGCCTCGAACCAAATGTGCCGAGGCCAACCCGAACAAACCCCCGAACCGAGGTTTCTGGGGTTTCGCTCGTTTCGCTCACCATGGAATGTTAACAGAGCCTTTCTCTGCGTGGGTGTTTCTCCGGAGTCGAGACGCGCGGCGCGGCCCAAAACGACGACGTGGCGAACCGCTCCCCGTGGGCGGAGTGGGACGGGAAGGCGCCACACGGAGGCCAAACCAGACCCGACGACCGAAACGCAGGGGGTCAAGGCCAACAGACATTTGTACCCTCCAAACCCTTCCCGTTTGGGCTCCAGTCGTACCGAACCGTTTCGAAGGTGGGACTGGGGTGGGTGCCAGGAGGGTCCAGTCATACCGAACCTGGAGCCCTAGACCTTCCCATTCCACCATCCCAGATCTGGGGTGGTGGCTGGACTACCCGAAAAAGCTCTACGGATGCGCTGCCCATGACAGCCAGGTCCGCCAGGTAGGACACGCTGACCTGGTCAAAGCTTCCCAGCACCTGAAACCAACGAAGACTCAGCAGCTTTGGACTCGTCCCATTGCAGCACTTGCTGGCACCACACCTTGCATCACCACGGGTGCCTCCTGCGATCTGCCCGCAGCCCGCCCGAAACGGCGTGGCGCACACTTCGCTTCATGACGTGGTCATGTTGCTTGGGATAGAAGCGCAACACCTGTGCTTGGGATAGAAACCATCATGCCGAAAAACTTCATGTATGGAATATGCCTGTATGCAAAATGTATGGAATGCTCTTGCGAAGGCCTGTTTCTCTTACCCAAACACTCCGTGTATGGCATATATATACCCTAATCTTCGATGGCCATTTATTTTTTGGTCGTCGCTGATGACCAAACAAAGATCCTAATAACCAAAGATTGTAGTGTTGCTTGGTGCTTGGAAGGTGGCACAGGATATGTATGTTCCGCGGCTCTTTGTGTGTGCGTTTTATCAGGTGTGTGCAGGCGTTAAAGGGCACTTGAGAGTCCTGGCATCCTGGGTCTGCCTCCACCACATCCATGGACAAGGTTCCACATTGGTCCACTACAGAGCACTGAGACAACTTTGATCAGCCAAGCTTTGACTAAATGAGCCATGGGCTGCTAGAAAATGCGCCGTGCACTACGCAAACGTCCAGAACTCGGTCAACCGATAGACTTATTAGATCGGACACAAACTAGTATCCTGCGCCACCAAGGCTTCCTGAATCCCGATGAGACCTCTACACCACGGGTAGAAGCCCATGGTGCGACCCACTGACCACCCACGCCCACAGACTTTGAGTTCTCAATTAGTGCGTTATTGTTTTCTTACGATTTTTGTGATCCGATATGTTTGAAAGACAGTTGAGATTTCTCAACTATCGCAATGGTTGCACATGCACTGCTTTGCACTGCTGTGTGTAATGCTCAGCATTTGTTGAGTTCTCAAGTAGTGCACTCTCACGCGCGCTGCAATGCCTAAGCCTGACACGCGAAGAATCACTCTTTTGAAGGATTGGACATCAAATCCACTTTGCATTGATGCGAAATCAAAACACCTTTGTGACTTGAGGTGAATTTTGTTAAGCTGTTCAGCTGTTCTGTACTTTTCCTGCCAATTTGTCAAACTCTGCAGGATTTCTATGATGATTTGCTTCAACGTAAATCCAGGGAACAACGATTCCTTGAACTTGCAGCAACACAAGGAGTGTCTGAGACAAAGGCTTCCAAGAAATTGAAAACTGGTCAGGTTACTTGTCTTAGATGTGTTGATGGTGCACCGGTGCTGGGTTGTATTTTTTTAATATATCGTGCATTACCGATGATATCAATTTATCGATCGATCGAGTACGCAATGCTCAGGCACCAGTCCCATTTAGCTTCGTCAACATCTCGAAATCACGAATTGATGAAGACCAGGCAGGATAGAAACACAACAATCTTTGATTTAATGGTTTCACGATCCTGTGTGGCCGCAGGTCCAACAAGAGCTCAACTATGAGTTCACAAAGTTGTGGCTAGAGCGCTTTACCTTGGACCCTCCCACCAGTGCTGAAGTTCAGGCGGTCACAAACAAATATAAACAAACAAACACAAATCTAGCTGATTGTTTTCAGAATGTTTTTCCTCAGATTGGGCTCATCATGGTTGCCAAGACCAATGCCCTTTGTGGGAAAGATGCTTCAAAAGAAGAGTTGGAGGCTGCCTCCACCACGTACATGGTGTCTAGTCTCTTTCTTGAACACTAGCACCACCATGTCGCAGCACATGGGGCCACGCCATATGTTCCTTAGACTTTTGAGTCCGGCCCGTACCCTTTGTTCACGATTTTTTTTCTCGATTCCATCAATAGATCTCTCGCTCTGCACCAGGAGTGGGCTGCCACTGAAAGTGGTTTGGAGAGAGCTCTGCCTGCGAAGGTGTTTCGTTTGCTGAGCCGAACGACCAACTCCAGGCAACATTGATTTACAAGAATGGGGTTCGGGGGTTCAGGTTTCATGTTTGAAGCACGACCGTGTGTTCTACATTCTACATGTATGGCAGGAAGGGATCCAAGGTCTCTGAGCTGAAAGACATTATCATCCAAAAGTTCAAGGAACACTCGAGATTGTTTCACACGATGAATTCACACGCTCCAATGTTGCAGGACAGTGGTGTTGTTCGCCGACTCCGTTCTCCCCGAAATTATGAGCGGGGAAATTCCGGCGATAGCGCTGTTATCAGCTCGAGTGCTGCATGTGGTTCTGTAGAGGACCAACGTGAAACCTTGCCCATGGAGGTGGTGGAGGCGGACCCAGGATGCCAGGACTCTCAAGTGCCCTTTCACCTCGAGGAACGTCAGCCAGATCCCACCCAGTTTGAACAAGACCTGGAAAAGGAACTTGAAAAAGCAGGCCATTGTCCCTCAGCTTTTGTGTGTGTTTTTCCCTTTGTCTAAAACATTAATACCGCCCATCCGTTCAATCTGAACCTCGCCTGGCAGGTGAAGCGCACTCGCAGGAGGTTCCACCAGGCCTGGTTGAGGATGCACCCGAAACCAGTGTGGTTGAAGAGATTATCGAAGAGATAGTGATAGAAGAAGAAGAAGCTATGTTAACTGATGATGAACTTGTGGAATTCCCAACCAATGAGAGCGAAATGCCACAAAGCTCGAACCCTGTTGGAGAACAGGGAACTGAACTGACTCAAGAGGTTGAGGTGATACAAAGTGCGGGAGTAGAAACGGAGCGTGAGGAGGTTGAGGTTCAGGTGATAGAAAGTGGAGATGAAGCTACGTCAGGGACTGTCAAGGGAACCTTCCAGGACCGCTACCATGCTTGTTCTTCAATACTACAAAAATGACTTACAGCAGTTGTCGACAAGGTGTCGACACTAGAGTGTTCTTTCTAGGATACCCGTGGAAAGCTTGCTGCTCCTGAGATTCCTTCGGATTTAGCAGCGCAAGCAGAGCTGGCAGCTGAGAAGCTGGGGGCCATGGGGTCCAACGATGATGTACAACTTCTAGAGGCCCATTTATTTGTGTTTATGAGTGTTGTAAATAGCGCCACAACATATTGGAATTATTTTGGTGCGTGAGGCGCAAAGGAAAATGCGGCAGGCTGTGCGCAAGCAAGACCCTGAAGCAAACGACAAACAAAACGAAGATCAAGATATGCATGCAGAAGACGAACAGATCAAACATGAACTCAGAGAAGAAGACAACGAACCAAAAACAAAAGGCCGCGGTCGGGGCCGCGGAGGCGGTGGCCGTGGCCGTGGCCGTGGTCGCGGCAAGAAAACTTCAGAGAACTCAGAGAAAGACACGAAGCAAATTTCCAAAGAGAAGGGATCAGCTCCCCCCCACCCAGAGCAGACACCCCATGGTGATGAACAGTTAGAGAGTGCAGACTTCAAGCCACCACCGCAGGAGAAGCAATCTGAGCCAGCACCTGCAAACATGGACATCCTACAAAAACATGATGAGCCAGCATCAGCAAAAACTAAAGAAAACACGGCACCTGCAAACATGGACAACACACAAAAACATGATGAGCGAGCATCAGCAAGCACTGAAGAAAACAATAACAAGAAAAGGAGCACGGCACAGGACAAAGAAGATGATGAGGGAGCACCAGGAAGCACTGAAGAAAACAATTGTAAGAAAAAAAACAAGACACAGCACAAAGAATCATCAAGCAAAGCAAACAAGCGATCACCGGAGCAGTCACAAGATGACAAGGCTGACAAGGATTGCGCTGTGATTGTTAAGTGTGTGTGTTGTTGTTGTTGTTTTGTTTTACGGTTGTGGTTTGATCTGATATCACTAAAAAGACTGAGTCGATACTGGTAGCAGGATACAACAACACAAGAACCGCCCAAAAAAACTGCCAGGCTCTCTGAGGACTGACCCTTACTTGTCTTTAGAACATATACTATTTGTTGCGACCGCAGGATGCACGCGTCATCAACTTGGCCAAGATCTCCGTTTTGATTGGTGAGGATTTCTTTTTCATTCCGGAAACGGTTAGTGCTGCAGAGGGTGGGAAGTCAGGGACCTAAGTCTTATGAGCCTCTAAAAATATTCATGAATTCACTTAAGGGTGGCTCTTGTGAAATGTGTGTGGCAAGGTCTTGGACCCTCAGGCCCCCGGAGTCGGTCTTGGAAAAAAATAAGACGGCAAAACCTATCCAGTGCTTGTAGCTTGATTGCATGTGTGCATTATTCCAGACATATTAGGTAACCACACAACAAAAGAATCGATCTAAAATAAATTGTGGAATTTGCGTCTGATCTTAGAATGTTGATTCCACGTGGGTCGCTTGAGGCTCGTCGGACAATTCTATGTGATACCGGCAAAAGATGACCTGTCCACCGTGCTGGCAAGAATCAAGTCTTTGCATTCCTTTCTGAAGGCTTATCACTGTTTTAGTTTCGGACCAGATTGAGCTGATAATTGTTCGTTCTACTAGACTAGGGACACAACACCGGCTTTGAACAGAAGACTGTGCAGGCGAACAATGCTGGGGGAAGCACCATATCGTGGGGCAAGTTTGATTCCATCGCAAGTGCGCATGGGCCTCGAAGCCTGCCAAAGCACTGCTTTTGATGTTCCTCTCAATGTACAGCGCCTCAGGTGGAGTGTATCGAAGATCGCCGCTGGCTGGACCCAGCTGAGTGGGGGTACAGCCAATTGAGGTTGATGGACATAGGACATAGATGTGCTTTTACTAGAGGGAGTGGTTAACATGTTTTTCAAAACATTTATGTTGTAGTGCTTGCCCCCGTCGGGTTGCTTAGAGTCTGGATGAAACCTGAAAGGTTGCATGGACTCAATGGGGTACATCATGGGTATTGATCAAGAAGCTTTGCATGTGCTTCTTGATGGAACGGTTTACCTGCAAAAGAGTCGGGTGAACATTTGGTGGCAAAAAAAGGTTGCAACATGAATTTGAATTTGTGTTATATGATCGGTCGACAGGACTCAATGAATGATTTGTTTCCGTCATGCACATCCATGGATTAGTTTTGTACCGTGTCCAGGGTGGCTGGCCCAGCTGAAACCGAAGTATAGGTCAAAAGATCGATCGTCACTCTGTTGGCGCAATGGACCGGAAATGGATGCGCTCTCCCCTAGCACTGAGTGCTACTTCAGTTGCCTTTATGCTATTGATGGGCGTTCCACGTTGCTTGTTTCCCAGCTGGAATTGGAACTATGGGCTTTGGCTTTGGAAAACAATCGACATATTCTACAGTAGCATGGACACTCTGAGCCATTTCCGCCCCGGCTGTATCTGAGTTTGGAGCTTTGTGATTTCGTAGCACAAGACACAGATCCTGATTGGTCGGTACGGGTCGGAGACTGAGTCTTATTCCAGAATCTTCTTACTAGTGGCACCCAGTCTGGGAACCCTATCCTGATAAATAAACTAGCCGATCAAGATTGATGGTGTACCAGGCTGAAGCACATTCATGCCAAGGACGTGGACTTTCTTGACGTGTTTTCCGGTCGAGGAAACCTCTTCAAATGCTGGAGCCAGGGTCCCAAATATAGTGCATGTAAAAAAACAATTTAAATTAGACTTGCCGATCGATCTATTGCCTAGGCGACAATGGATACCATGCGTTGGGATCTTGGCAACCACCGACATTCACAAGTGCTCTATCGGTCAAATGACAAAAAAAACCAGCTAGCATTGAGCACCGTTGTATGTGACCGAGGGATCTCTACGATGTGGCGACCGATGGTCCTGCCCATGACTTGACGACATGGAACTGTCCTGAGAATTTTGGCATGCTGCACTCCAGAGATCCTGTGACCCAACAATCTAGTTCAAGACCAGTATTTGAATTCCTAGTATAATAGCAATTCCGTTTTGGCTGTGCTAAGGCGTGGCTTTGCACTTCTTGTGCAAAAGGTGCTGAAACTAAGAGAGGATGGCCTTGCTAGCTTCGGTGTGCCGTGTTCGTCCTTTATATGGATCAACACCGGAACTTCACGCCGTTCATCAACCCGGCCCTATGGAGATACAGAAAAACCTTATATCATGGCAGCTAACATGTCCCTTGTCCTAGATCTTTGAACTTGGTGTCTGAAACACCTTTGGACACCGACTTGTGATAGTGGCGCATCAGGTCACGACTAGTAGTTTCTTTGCTTCAGCTTGAACCATGAGGCTTGCGCTATGAACACTACTTCTGATGATTTTGTGTGCAAGCAGGGGTGTGTACTGCATTATTGAGCAGCCACATTCCAGCAAATTTCGACTCCTACCGGAATACATCTACGTGAAAGCCATGTTTGACCAATTCGGTTGCCCGTTCTCTGAGCGTTTTTTGCCAGGACCTCATTATTTTTTTCTTGGTGTTGAGAAATTCAAAGCTTAACACGCAAAGCCTTTGTTGAAACAATACAATCGTTCAATCGTCCCAAACTGCTAAGTTGGATGGGTACTTGGGGACATACATCGATGAAACCATCGTTGGCAATGGCTTCAGCGCTTGGAGCTTGGGATGATTTTTTTTGGTATGTGCACTAGAAGTTCGAAGACCACATACTCTGTTTGGACAACACCTCAGTAAATAACAAATCGAATTCAATAAATGGTTATGGAATTTCCAGAATGCTCTCAACCGCTCATCCGCTGCGCTTTCCCAGGCCCTGGGCTGGAGGCCTCTATCGAAAGATGACACAGAAGCGCCGTCGGCAGCTCCGCCTCAGCAGCGATGGAATGGTTAAACGGTACAAGGACCACTCTGGTCGTACAAGAGTGTAGGGACCTCAGAAACCATTATACGATAAAAAAGGAAAACTATTGCTTGTGCACGCTCGTGGTCTGTTGGAAGATCTGAATTGATCATCTGGCATTGAAGTACGGTGTGGCCACTGTCGTTGATACACAACACTTCTACCAGCGACGACCAAGGTGTGGAGGGCGTTTGTTGAAGCAAAGTCAGGCCTGTTCTTTTCGACAAAAATCATGTAGCGTAGTAGTTTTGGAGCAAAACAAACACAAGCACATGTGCACGCAGGAGTATCCAATGGGATATGCAAGGCAAGTGATGAAGTTGCACACGAAGCACATGGCTCGAAACCCATTTTTTTAGAGTATATGCTGCACCAAAGACCTAGTGCTAGTGCATGTGTAAAAATTGGATTTGAACTAGGCGAAGAAGCCGCTCATGTTGAAAAGCCTGACTAAACTGGCGGTAGATTCCTTCAAATCTACACCAAAGAAAGGGGTGGGAGCCTTGAGTTTAACGTTTTGTGTTATCCAATGCTAGCCCTCAACACAAAGTTGAAACTATTAATCTGCTCCTGAGGTTCCAAGCAAGCCGACATGGGTCGCAGCCAATTTGAACCAGGTTCGTCAGAACCTTCGACAGGAACCATTCTATGTTCCTGCCAGGAAAGTTAGCAAATAATTCAAATAGCTCATCGTAAGGTGGGTCCGGGCCAACCGTGAGCCAACCGTGAGCCAGCGTGAGCCAGCGTGAGCCAGACCCCTAATGTACATTAAAACAAGCTAATGACCATTTTTATCAGGGGTCCCACCGTGAGCCAAGCGTGAGCCAGCGTGATCCAAACCACCTAGACAGGGGTCTGTCACTACACGCTGTTTCTGCAGTAGAAATTCAAAGCCACTATGATGTGGTTACATGAATACACGACACAAAAAGGTTATGTTTGTTGTATTTTGGATTGAATGCTTTGCAACTTGCCAAACAAAGGGGAACATGTACGACATGTGTCATTTATACCGATGTTTGCGTAGTTTGCCAGGCCAAACTAGGACTGAATTTCCGTACTGTGGTAGCATTTTGCATAGGTCACAGCGATGGAACCAGAACCTGAGACTGGGGACCAGGGTACCAACCAGAGTTCTGGTAATGCACCGGCTGCAACAAGGAGGGTAATTAAAAAGATCATAGTCAAGCGGCGCCCAAAACCGCAACCTGAACATGTTCCCAAGTCGGCACCAGCGATCCCTGCAGCCCCAAGTCAGCACCCGCCAGCTGAGATTCCCAATGCAGTGCCACCTCAACCCACGCCTGTCCGCGCAGCGGTCAAACCTCCTGCACCTGTACCGACACTTCCTTTGCCTCCAGTGCCACAGCCAAAAGCCTTGCCAGCCACTGGACAATCTGATACTCAACCTGATGGTTCAGAATCAGAAGAACCTCCGCCAACCAAGGCCGTGTGGAAGGGATGGGATCAGTTTCGTGTTCCCAAACGGCAAGCTGTTATTCAGATTGATGATTCTCAGTCGACCGTTGAAGGTGGTGCACCAGTTCAGTTCACTAAGGCAGTGTGGAAAGGTTGGGATCAATTTCGGGTTTCCAAACCCTACATCATCCCTAAGGCAGTTGCCTCACCACCTCCAGCACCTGCAAAGCACATCCCAAAACCCTTCCTGCCTCCGCAGGTCGCGAAGCCACCATCACCAAGCGCACATGAAGTGTCAGCAGCCTCCACTTCAACCAGTGTTCCCGTTCCAAAACATCCAGTGGAAGCACCGTGTCCACCAGTAGCAAAAGCAACCAGTTCCTCGGCGGCCAGTCTGATGTCTGCGGCCCCAAGTGCGGCACCGCTAACTTCGGCAGAAGCACCAAACACAGCAGATGTCACCCAAAGTGAGGCCACATCAGCAGTGGCAAAAGCATCCGCCCCTAATGGGGATCCAGCAGCAATAGCAAACACACCAAGCACGGCAGATGCCAGCGCGATGAGTGAGGCTCGATCATTGGCAGAAGCACCAGGCACAGCAAGTGTCACCCCCAGTGAGGCCACATCAGCAGTGGCAAAAGCATCCGCCCCTAAT